GGAAAACTTGGGAACATTTAACTTGCGCCCTCTAGCGGGCCTGTGGATGGTGCAGCCAGATCTGTAGCTGCCTCATTTGTCACAACAGGCTTAATGATTATTTATTCATTAAGTTGGCGTCAGATTTTAAGGCCACGGAGAGATGTCAAGAAAAGTCGTAAAATGGGGCAAAACTCACTAACACGATGTTACTTAGCCACAGAAATTTCATGCTCACTGCGGTGTTAAGCTGAGGTATTCCCCCCCCCCCCCCCCAAGTGTTGAGCGTAAATACACATTCTGTTTGCGGTTAAGAGGAGAAGACCAGAAGCCATCCACAAAGAGAAAAAAAACCGACACCGGTCAGCAAACAATGCACCGAACGAAGAATTGTGCATGTATTGGGTTACAAAGAAACAATATATAATGTACATTTTTGTGTGGGAAAGCTGACAGGAAATGAACCCATCGCGTTTCCTCAGCCGGGGGGGGGGGGGGGGGAAATAAATACACTTGCAGTGTTTTTTAAGGAGGAAGGGGGCTGAAGAAAGTCGGGCGTAGAATATCAAGGTCCCGCCAATGAACTGTACACCTTGTACACAGTTGTTAAACAATAAAATGAAAGGTTATAAAACATTCGCCGACAGAAGAAATGCAGAGGACGGCTTCGCTATTCGGCCCAGATTTTTAGAAATTCCCAATATATTTTCTGAGGATCGGGTGTTCCGTCTTATTTAACAGAATATCGCCTTTCTCCAGCTCCGTACGTCTGCATTTTCGCCTGTAACTGAAAGGATAAAATCTCTACTTGCCTGTTTTTCCCTTTTCCCCCCAGAGGGTGGAGAAATTCTCTTAGTGTCAAAGAAGCGAGTTTTTGAACATGGGGAAACAAAACAAAAAAGCTCGCCTCTTCACCAGTGACAAATGCAGCATCTAAGGAGTTGCTAACACACATGGGAATTTAAGCATTCTTTGCATTAGGACTTTCACCCATGCAGCCAAAGCTCCTTTTTGCACACCAACCCGTAGTGTACAAATCAGCTGTTCATTCCTTAGATTCAGGAGTTCAAAAAATCTTCCTTGATTCAGGATTCTTCACTGTTACTTGCATGTGAGATTCCGTCACCCTGGTTCATGGTTGTCCCAAAATGCGTTTTCAGAGGCACTGGACTTTCTTGTTTTTCTTGAAGATATTTCGCTTCTATCCCAGAAGCTTCTTCAGTTCTGATTGGATGGTGGAGAATGGAAAGGATTATACTCCTTGCCGACCGCTGGCATTTGCAATCTTTCAGAGAGGAAGTTGAGACCACTTGGAGGTTTATCTGTGTTGGAGAGATACAAAATTATCTATCTCCTGTCTACAACACAATCCCCTTTCACAGTTCCAGAGGACTCACACCCATTTGCACCACTCAAGTGACCCTGAGGGACCAGGTAAACCTCCCAGTGCCTCAACGGCTCTCTAAAAGATGCCAAATGAGTATAAATCTGTTGCATAGGAGTATAAATCTTTCCATTTTTCCCCACCATCCAGTAGAGCTGAGAAGCTTCGGGGATAAGGAGTGAAATTGTCTCAAAGAAATACAAGCAAGTCCCAGTCGTGAAAAAGCATCTTTGGGATTCAATTCATTTTTTTCACATAGGCCTGACTGCATCAATTCACATGCTGTGGTTGTTGACAATGCTGCTGCCTCATACATATATCAGGGGACAAATTTTTCAACATGAGCCAACACACTCCCGCATCACACCCCCAACAAATATGCACAATGGGGTTCCTGCAGCTGCGGCAAAGGCGAAACCCTTCACAAACTCTAACCAACCTGGCCTAGGTTGGACATTTTAGGATAAACAGAACAGGAAACGGAACAATTTAACGGGACGAATATGCATTATCCATAGAACTGAACATGATTAATTCACTTTACATTAATTGCGGTTGGCACTAGGCCAGGGTCTTCAAACTTGGCCCTTTTATGAACTCGTGGCTTCAACTCCCAAAATTCCTGAGCCAGCATGGGGGAACTATGGCCCTTTCATGACTCGTGGACTTCAACTTCCAGAATTCCTAAGCCAGCACGGCTCAGCTTGGAAACCTCCCCCTTTCCCCTCAGCATGGCTGGCTCGGGAATTCTGGGAGTTGAAATCCACGAGTCATAAAAGAGCCAAGGTTGCCTACCCCTGGCCTAGGGCTACCCACTCTTCCTCTAGGCCAGGAGTCTTCAAATTTGGCCCTTTTATGACTTGCGGACTTCAACTCCCAGCCTGGCTGAGGAATTCTGGGAGTTGAAGTCCACAAGTCATAAAAGGGCCAAGTTTGAAGGCCCTGGTCTAGGCCAAGGGTTCTCCAAATATGGCAACTTTTAAGACTGGTGGACTTCAACCACCTACAATTCCAAAATCGAAGACTGGTGGACTTCCACTCCCAGAATTCACGGCTGGCTGAGAAATTCTGGGCGTTGAAGTCCACAAGTTTTAAAGTTGCCAAGTTTACTAGAGATGGGAGGCCTGGAAAAAAAAATGGAAAAATTGGGGGAAAAAAGAGGTTTTTTTCCTGATTTTTTTCAAAATTGTTTTTTTTTCCTCAGAAATTTTTTTTTTTTAAAAAAAGGAGCGTGGAAGATGTTCTTTTCCAATGATAAATAATACATCTGTGACATCAGGGTATTCAAAATATATAATGTGAAGGCCTTAAGGACAGATTTCTTAAAAGTCTTAAATGATTGCAAGTTCTCTCAGCTGCAGACAAGCCAATCCTGGAATACAGTTCAAATTAACACTGTGTTTCTCAATGCAGTTCTCAAACAAGACAAATATGCATTTGTGACACTACTGGACACTGCAGTTTAGTTTGCTTGTGTACCTCTTAACTATTGAGCTCTCCAGCATCCCATTCAAAGGTGACACCATGTCTCTTGGGCTCAAAAAGTTAAAATCATTGCGTGATCCGTGGATTTACCAAACCCAAACACGCTCATTTTATTTAAGTCTTCACCTGAGCAATTACAATCACCTCCTGGTTCCTGCCGTTTGATGTCCTAACCCAGAGGTAGGCAACCTTGGCTCTTTTATGATTCGTGGACTTCAACTCCCAGAATTCCTGAGCCAACATGGCTCAACTTGGAAACCTCTCCCTTTCCCCTCAGATGGCTGGCTCAGAATTCTGGGAGTTGAAGTCCACCAGTCATAAAAGAGCCAAGGTTGCCTATCTCTGGCCTGGGCCTAGGCCGCTTTCTGACTCGTGGACTTCAATTCCCAGAATTCCTGAGCCAGCATGGCTCAGCTTGGAAACCTCTCCCTTTCCCCTCAGCATGGCTGGCTCAGGAATTCTGGGAGATGAAGTCCACGAGTCAGAAAAGAGCCAAGGTTGCCTACCCCTGACCTAACCCCAAAGGGAAATGTTGAGACAGATGGTTGATTTAGGAAATACTGGATTTAAGGAAAAAACTGTCCACCAAGCTGAGTTTAAGTGCAATGAAATATATTTTTCTTTTCTTTCTTTCTTCTTTCTATGAGAACGAAACTTGGTACTTCATAGCCCCAGATGCTGGTTCTAGGGAAATTGGACTAAGGGCTGCAGGGAAAATGGGAGGGATTATATTTGGCTCTCTTTGGTTCTCTCTTTCATTTGAAAATTCTAAAGTTGCACAAAGCAGCATGGAGGGGAATGGTGCATTTGGAACAGTGGGGGATTCTGGCTGGGGAATTCTGGGAGTTGAAGTCCACCCGTCTTAAAGTTGCCAAAATTGGGGGGGGGGAAACCCCTGATTTAGAAGATTGCAGAAGGGCTTTTCTTAAAAGTGCTTCACAAAATTTGACCGAGTTATAATTAAGTCTTTGTGTCAATGTTATTGTCCCTTTTCTCAAGGTTAGACAGTCAGGTAGCCTGTTAGACAGTCAAGTAGCCAAGTTCGGCCGCTGATTTGGAGTCTCATGCTGGGCCTGAAAACAGATACCCAATTTATTATAAGTCGTTGAATTCTGAATTGTGGATTTTGTCCAGAATGATAGAGGATCCCCTGTCTGAGCAAGGGGTTGGACTAGAAGACCTCCAAGGTCCCTTTGATTCTATTATTCTGCATTTATTTTTTATTATGTGGGATAGTTAGGAATCCTTGTGCCAAATCACTTGGCAAAGTACAATGAGTGAGTTCCTGTTCTAGTACAAGTGGAATATTTTTGGGGACAATTATTTTGGGCTAACTTAGAGCTGACAGTTCCAGGACATCTAGTCCTTTAAATAAAGTACAAATAATTACTTCAATAAGTTATTAATTTGGCTTCCCCCATCCGTGGCTGTACGGCAGATTCTGGCTTACTGTTTTGTCTTTTTTTTTTTTTTTAATTAACTTAATGCATTGATGAAGTCAGTTGTGACCTAGGAAGTCACAACAAAGAGGAACTGTTTTATAGTTGATCTTCCTTCCCCTAATGCGGTGATTTTCAACTGTGAAGAATTCCTCAGCCAGCATTCTGGACAAGCAAAGTTGACGTAAACAACCATGTTACTAATTTAACAAGGGCAGTGATTTACTGAATGACAGGGGCGAGGAAAGTAGTAAAATGGGCCAAAATTCCCTTCACAACTGCCTTGCTGAGCAATCGAAATTTGGGCCTCAACTGTCGTAAATTGAAGACTATCTGTACTTATCCTTCTCAACATTGTGGCCAACTGGCCTTCTTTAGATAACTGCGACTCCATTTGCAAGCAGGGTTATGATAGACTGCTCTTTACTCTTTGGAGACCAGGGTATGTAGACCCACAGAAGAGAACATTTCGTAGTTCAGGGTTGAACTATGGGGGTCCTTGGTGCTCTCTGAACTGAGTGCTTTTCTTGTAGACCTCTCATGACCCAACTAGGTAACATCATCAGTGCTAGAAAGGAGAACAAAGAGAGAAACCTAACCCCCTTCTAGCACTGATGATGTTACCTAGTTGGTTCATGAAACGTTTGCAACAAATCCACCCAGCTCAGAGAGCACCAAGGACCCCCACGGTCCTCCTCCTTCTTCTTCTCCTCCTCCTCCTCCCCCCGAAACACCACACCCATCTAGCACTGATGATGTTACCTAGTTGGGTCATGAAACGTCTGCAAGAAAACCACCCAGCTCAGAGAGCACCAAGCTCCCCAAAAAGTTATGCGGTGTCTTCTGAATGCAAAGCAACGGGGGTATAACTACCTTGGTTAGTCTACCTGTCTCACTCATGGAGTGCATCCACCTTTGTCAACCAACCACTTATAAGATGGAGACTAACCAAACTGAATCCAGAAAAAAACCGAGCGGGTTCCCCCTTAGTGTCAAATATCCGTCTCTTTGAGCCCACAAGACTCCGAGTCAGTCAGATCGTCGTACATGTGGTAGTCGATGCATTCCAAGAACTCATTGGGGATGCCGATGGACACCGACTCCACCTCCGTTTTGAAGGAGGCCGCCATGCCGCCTCTGAGGGAGCTGCCACGCATTTTGTGGGAGAGACTGTTCATTTTCTCCTTCAGCTGGACGGTGGGCTTGTGGAACGGAGAGAATATCCTCCACCTCTTCAAGTTCAGAGTTCTCCTCCTGCTCGATTGTTCCAAGCTGCTGGAGTTCAATATGAAGGAGCCGTTGAGGGTGGAGATCTTGGATCCGGGCTCCCTCTCCGAGTCTTGGCTACAGCCGTTGACGGAGGCCCCTCGCCAAGGGTTGTCATAAACCCTCCAGATGGGCCTCCTCCGACGACACTGGCACTTCAGCAGGCGGATGAATGCTCTTTTGAACTCTTTGCTGGAGCAGGGGTAGATGATGGGGTTCACGCAGCTGTTGAAGTAGCCCAGCCAGAAGATAATCTTGAAGGCCATTCCTGAGGGCTTCAGGGAAGGGAAGAAGGAACCTGAAAACAAGATGGAAGAAGACTTGAGAAAGGGTCTTGCTAGGACAAAGCAGGAGCTCCATACCTTTCATGAACGGGAGCTGGGATTGAGCGCTGAGCTCCATACCTGTCATGAACAGGAGTTGGGATTGAAAGCTGAACTCCATATCTGTCATGAACAGGAGCTGGGATTGAGCGCTGAGCTCCATACCTGTCATGAACAGGAGCTGGGATTGAGCGCTAAGCCCCATACCTGTCATGAACAGGAGCTAGGATTGAGCGTTGAGCTCCATACGTTTCATGAACAGGAGCTGGGGTTGAGCGCTGAGCTCCATACCTGTCATGAACAGGAGCTGGGATTGAGTGCTAAGCCCCATACCTGTCATGAACAAGAGCTGGGATTGAGCGCTGAGCCCCATACGTTTCATGAACAGGAGCTGGGGTTGAGCGCTGAGCTCCATACCTGTCATGAACAGGAGCTGGGATTGAGCGCTAAGCCCCATACCTTTCATGAACACGAGCTGGGATTGAGCGCTGAGCCCCATACGTTTCATGAACAAGAGCTGGGATTGAGCGCTGAGCTCCATACCTTTCATGAACAGGAGCTGGGATTGAGCACTGAGCCCCATACCTTTCATGAATGGGAGCTGGGATTGAGCGCTGAGCTCCATACCTTTCATGAACAAGAGCTGGGATTGAGCGCTGAGCTCCATACCTGTCATGAACAGGAGCTGGGATTGAGCGCTGAGCCCCATACCTGTCATGAACAGGAGCTGGGATTGAGCGCTGAGCTCCATACCTTTCATGAACAAGAGCTGGGATTGAGCGCTGAGCTCCATACCTTTCATGAACAAGAGCTGGGATTGAACGCTGAGCTCCATACCTGTCATGAACAGGAGCTGGGGTTGAGCTGTGGGAAGTTTTGTATCAAAATATAGTTTATTCTTTATGTTCTCTCCATCTCCCCTTAAACGTTAACAGAATCCACTATAGATTGAGAACGAGCATCTCTGCTAGATAACTGACAACCGAGCTGAAGCTAAGTTAATCAAGTAAAAATAGTCAACGGGAGAAATCTTTTACTTAAACTTCCTTAAGCATCCAAATAAGTTACCCAGATGTAATCCACATATCAAAGGAGAAGGTCTGTAAACAGAAATAGAGTTAATTAAACAGAGCTGCTTGTTCACAAGAGAATAAGCATCATAGATGACATGTACACACCCATGCCCCTCAAATATTACTCTAGAGCAGGGGTCCTCAACCGTCGCAACTTTAAGACTGGCTGAGGAATTCTGGGAGTTGAAATCCACAGGTCTTAAAGTTGCCAAGGTTGAGGACCCCTGCTCTAGAGGTAGGCAACCTTGGTTCTTTTATGACTCGTGGACTTCAACTCCCAGAATTCCTGAGCCAGTATGGCTCAGCTTGGAAACCTCTCCCTTTCCCCTCAGCATGGCTGGCTCAGGAATTCTGGGAGTTGAAGTCCACGAGTCATAAAAGAGCCAAGGTTGCCTACTCTGGTCTGGGCCTAGGCCGTTTTATGACTCGTGGACTTCAACTCCCAGAATTCCTGAGTCAGCATGGCTAAGCATAGAAACCTCTCCCTTTCCCTTCAGCATGGCTAGCTCAGGAATTCTGGGAGTTGAAGTCCACGAGTCATAAAAGAGCCAAGGTGGCCTATCTCCGGCCTAGGCCGCTTTCTGACTGGTGGACTTCAACTCCCAGAATTCCTGAGTCAGAATGGCTAAGCATGGAAACCTCTCTCTTTCCCTTCAGCATGGCTGGCTTAGGAATTCTGGGAGTTGAAGTCCACAAGTCATAAAGGAGCCGTAGTTCCCCATGTTGGTTCAGGAATTCTGGGAGTTGAAGTCCAGAAGTTATAAAGGGGCCAGAGTTCCCTATGCTGGCTCAGGAATTCTGGGAGTTGAAGTCCACGAGTCATAAAAGAGTCAAGGTTGCCCACCCCTGTGGCCTAGAATCAGCACGTGTACATTTCCACAATCAGGACAAGCTCCCCTATAAAACAGTGTCTCTGCACCCCATGTTCTCTGTAGCTGCCCTCAAGGCAAACCTCTTTGCTTTTGGGAATAAATAATTTTCCTTTCCTCAAAGCTGTCTGGATTTCATTTGTATTTATTGTTGGGCGATCCTGTTTTGAATTCGACCCCCAAATTGGACCCCCAGATTATTCTGACAATACACAACTGCAACAGCAGTGAATTTTGCTGGTCAGAAGGCTGCAAAATTGACCACGTGGTCCTGGGACATTGCAACCGTCTTAAAAAAAAAAAAAGAAAAAGAAGAAAGTCCAGTTGTCTCTTGAAAAAAGCACCTTTGGGGTTGTCACTGAAAGTTTGGGATGCTGAGTTTGGACCCATTTTACAATATTTCTCGTGACGGTTCTTAAGTGAATCCCTGCAGCTGTTAAATTTGCTTCACTCCTTGCAGACAGCTGGTCATCTGCCTTCTTTTAGAGAGTTGTTGAGGCCATTTGGAGGATTACCTGTGTCCTCAGGGTCACCTGAGCAGTGCAAAATTATTTTATAAGCCAGTGGTTCTCAACCTGTGGGTCGGGACCCCATTTGGGGTCGAACAACCATTTCACGGGGGTCGCCAAACAACGTAGTCTGCCATTTTTTCCCCCTTTTCCTTAGCTGTGCTACTCCCTTTTATTCTATTGGCTTTTGAAAGCCAATAGAACAGACTCTCTTGAATAGAGTCTAATTCTATTGGCTTTCAAAAGCCCATAGGAATTGTCCAGGCTGTCTCTGCCCTGCTGAGCCCGCCAAAAGTCCCATTCTGCAAACGGTGCTGCACCAGTTGAGTAGTCCTCGACTTACGACCGGTTGGGAGTCGCGGCATTAAAAAGGTTGAGAACCGCTGTTATAAGCCATTCCAGATTTCTATCTAAAAATGATCCAAAGTGTAATGCTGCTCTCTTCCAGCAGGGGGCTCCCTTGCCCTCTTCCAAGCTGCAGGACTATTGCCCTGAGGAATTCTAAGAATAACTTTCTGAGTCAGCCTGAATGCCTTTTAATTTTAGATGAATCATGACTCTTGCGTGACTGTATTATTAATTCATATAATGGGTATAAAGCCGGCGCTAGCGAGGTATCGGAGCTAAATCCGAGTGTCAAAGAGGCTTGAAAGGGATCAGTTGTTATTAGAGGCCCGAAAGCTTCGAAAGCGAGAAGGGGAAACAGGTGCTCATCCCCATAATACTTTTATTATTTTTATTATTTCATGTTAAAGTTCTAGAATGCAGTACAGGGAGTTGAAATCTATCCATCTGAAAGAAGCCAAGATTGAGAAACATTGATTTAGGGATGCAACTGGCTTATAAACTTCAGTAGAATAGAATAGAATAGAATAGAATAGAGAATAAGAAATAATTAGAATAGGAAATAATGAATAATGAATAAAGAATAGAATAGAATAGAATAGAATAGAATAGAATGGAATGGAATGGAATGGAATGGAATGGAATGGAATAGAATAGAATAGAATAGAATAGAATAGAACAAAATACAGGATATAGAATAGAATAGAATGCAGAATAGAATAGAATATAGAGTATAGAATATAGAAATAATATACCAGTATAGTATAGTATAGTATAGTAGAGTATAGTAGAGTAGAGTAGAGTAGAGTAGAGTAGAGTAGAGTAGAATAGGAGCTGGAAGGGACCTTGGAGGTCTTCTAGTCCAGCCCCCTGCTCAAGCAGGAGAACCTATACCATCTCAGATTGGTGAATGTCCAGTCTCCTCTTAAAAATCTCCAGTGATGGAGCACCCACGATTTCTGGTAGCAAGCTGTTCCACTGGTTGATTGTTCTCACTGTCAGGAAGTTTCTCCTTAGTTCTAGTTTGCGTCTTCTCCTGCCTTCAGGTGCTTTGGAGAATAGCTTGACTCCCTCTTCTTTGGGGCAGCCCCTGAGATACTGGAAGACTGCTATCATGTCACCCTTAGTCCTTCTCTTCTGAACCTTTACAGAATAACAGAGTTGGAAGGGACCTTGGAGGTCATCTAGTCCAACCCCCTGCTCAAGCAGGAGACTCTATGCCCTTTTAGACAAATGGCTGTCCAGTCTCCTTTTGAAAACCTCCAATGATGGAGCACCCACAATTTCTGGAGACAAGCCGTTCCACGGATTAATTGTTCTCCCTGACAGGAAATTTCTCCTTAATTCTATTAATTTTGAATTCTTAAGCTTCCTTTCACGCTGGCTGGCAACAATGGAGACTATAATGCAATCTCCTCTTTTCTGAGGAAAAGATTTTTCCCTCATTCTGACTCCGGCACTGGAAAAGGCCAAAATGGAGCTGAATTTTCTCTCTCCTCACCTGTCTGTCTCTCTCGTGTAGCTTGCAAGGAGTTTATTTCTCTAATAATTTATTTTTATTCCTGAAAGGAACAGAAACAGGCCTGAGCCCGTCCAAGCCACGCTCACCCTGAGCAGCGTATCCCGCCTTTTAAACACAATTAACAACAAAAACAAAACATAAAATACACATGGCGACTCAAAAAGCAGGAACCAACGTTCGTAAAGAAACACGGGTCTTCCTGGACTGACGACTGTTTGTTTAGCGACGGTTCGACATTACAAGGGCCCTGAAAAAGTGAGGTTTTTCCCACAGTCCTCGCATTTACGACCAAAGTCTTCACACTTACGACCGTCGCAGCATCCCCACGGTCGCAGGATCAAAATTCGGGTGCTTGGTGCCCAGCGTGTATTGACGAGAGGATTGCAGCACCTCGGGGGGGGTATTTCCTGTGATCTATGACAGCTGGTTTCCGACGAGCAAAGTCAACGGGGGAAACCAGATTCGCTTAATGACTATGTGATTCGCTTAATGACCCCTTCCCATCTGGCCAAAACCACTGATCCTTTGCAGCCTCGTTTCTCACCACCTTGAGATGAGGTCCATTTCTTGGATCCACCTCACAAGCGGCTGAAGAAAAAAGAACGGAAGCCCAACAGAAACAAGGGGGGGAATAATAATAAATAAATCACTTTTTTT